CAGATAACCCATAATTTAATGTATTTTGGTCATATGAATTCAAACTAGGAATATGTTCGGATGATGATTAGAATAGACTTAATTTGTCTTGAAAAAAAAAATTAAATACACTAACGTTATTGATTGTCACTAAAACATGAAATTGATTATATTACAATCAAGAGTTAAAATAAATTGCAATAAGGGGATTTAAAATTTAATATAATCATTCACATATCTGACAGAATATTTTTTATTCATTCCTTACTTTAGAATTAGCTTAAATAATAACAAAATCACGTCCTCTGTATCACGAACATCGAATTTAGTAGTAACTAGTGAACTAGAATTAGACATTATTCCTTGTGGGACGATAACTCACAACTTACTTTATTATTACTTGTCAACGATTTTGTACGCTTGCGAGTTTCAGCAAACATGAATCAATTCAAGTGATACATGCAAGGTATTTGTGAAAATGAGAGTGAGAAAATTGACATTCTCTTTAACTTTTTTCTAAAAAGATTTCAGTCTATCTCATTTGAATTCTTTTGGAGCAATTATGTGTATATATTAGAAATTTTAATTATGAATTTAAAATTTGTTTTACATTAAAAAGTGACATGATGTTACACTATTTATATTTTTGTAAATGAATTACTATGGTGGAATTTAAAAGTGATATAATTTGTCAATTTTTTTTTTTTTTAATATCTCTCACTATTTCATTTATATTCTTCTTGTAGATATTTATAAAATTAACGTCTTCATCAAGGAAAATAAAAATAAGATAACGAATATCAAAGTGACAAAATGACTAGAATTATTATCTCAATAGAATACACATACAACAACATTTGTTAAAACGTTAATATCATCTTTCTAGTCATTTGTGTCATGATATGCAATTCCATCAATTTAGTTTATCCTTATATTCAAGTATAAGCTAATTTTGGTAACAATTTTATGAAATTCAAAGTGTTTAAGTGACATATCATATCACTTTTTTTAAGAAGTTAAGGTATATCATTACTAAAAAGTACCATATCATTTTTTCATAAAAAAAGTGACATCATGTCTATTTAAAGTAATATTCATGTTGTACGATTAACTTTTAATCTTTTAAAAAGAGAAAAGAAAGACAAAAACCGACAAACATTAAAAAAATTGAAAAAAAAAATCTCATAAAAGTCACAAAATCAATTTGTGGTCTTGAGTGTAACTAATACGAGAATTTGCAGTTCTAATTATTTTTAAGGATGCTAATTTTATATTTTATTTTGTGAGTAGTGAATCTGATTTTCCCTACATAATTTCCATATTGATTATTTTTTATAATTTTTGGTTGGTCCAGTAATTCTAGAATCTAGTTACTGTGTATACAGAATTTTTCCTAATTAAAAATATTGTCAAATCTAGTGCAGGCTATCTTCTATATCTGTAGAATTTAAAATTGAGCATTAATTAAAGGTAAAATTGCAGGTGGGGTGCCAAACTTTTTAATTTACTTCAGACTATACTCAAACCCTTTATTTTGCAGCCATGGTCCGAAATCTTTCATTTTGATGTCAAATTGAGGACAATAGCCAGCTGGAGATGGGATTAGGGAGAAGATGAAATTATAAAGGTTTGGAACAATGGGTGGTACAAATAAAAGATTTGGTATAATTTGCTAAAAATTAAAAAGTTTTTATTTGCCCCTCTTTAAATGGATTTAACGGCTCTAGTAATGGACATAGATAGAAGGGGAGTCTTTCACATGTAAAAGATCACCTAGGGAGGTTTTTCGTCAATCTGAAAGAATGAGATGGGTATTCCACACTGAAGGCAAAGGACACGGGGATTTTGGGGGTAGAGTAGGTGCAAATTTTTCCTTTTTTTTTTTTGGAATTTTAATTTAATTATTTCGATTGTACCATTTGTGATAATATAAATTTTCCATTTTACTCTCTTAAAATTGGTCAAAATATGGTTGAAGTCAACTGACAATCAACTGGACGAAATCATCCATTGTTCTTCTATTACAACAAAATGAAAGATTTGAAACTGGAGATGACACAAATGGGTATAAATTGCAATAAAGTGATTTGGAACTGCAACTACAATAATTTTCAAGATTAATTTTCAGACTTCTACTTAATTAAGTTGAGGTCCTGAAATTAGGAGTGACAATTAGGTTAAGCGGCTTCGCTCGGCTCCTATGGACTCGGCTCATGGGTGGAGCTGAGCCAAAAAAGTCGTTGGGACGAGCGGCTCATGGACTCGAAAAAAAATGTGACCCAACGGTACTTTTATTTTTTTTTTTGAAATGTTACCGTTTAGTCACATTTCAAAAAAATAAATAATAATAATAATAATAATGATGATGATGATGATGATGATGATGATGATAAAATATTGTATTTATATATATGGGCCCATGGACAAGCTCGGCTCGTGTTCAAATGAGCTCTTTCTCTTTGATCTCTTTGATGAGTTGAGCTATCCCATAAAAATATTAAATTTGATTAAGGTTATTATTTGTAGTGTACATAAATATACGAGCGTAAATTAAGGGGTTACTTATGTTAATTTATATGTGAATATTTAGTAAATTAAATTTTTTTTTAAAACGTTATGTAACTAATTACGCATGTGAATATAACCACCCAAAGTTAGAAACAAAATATCCTGCTTTTTAAAAATCTACTACCAAATTATACAAATTCTTCCATCATTAATTAATTAATTATTATTATTATTATTAACTCGTCAAACATCTAAGGGGTGTTTGAGAGACATTTTTATGTAAAAATGCATTTTAGAATAGTAACTTGATGGGAAGTGTGTGGTTGAAAAATAAAGAATTTTTTTTTATTTAAGTGTAATATTATTTTAATAAAAAATGTGTAGTTAAAAAGAAAAAAGAGAAAAATACATTTTGAAAAAAATAAGTACCAAACGAGGGCCTAAAATAGTTATGAATTGTCAATGCAATTAGAAGTCCTACAATCTACAATCACAAATATGACCTTAGATTGATTATATTAAAAGATAAGACACTGAAAAAAAAGAATTTCAGGGAATTGAATCACTTGAAAATTATTTTCCTGAAAATTGTCAATTTATTGTGTTTAATTGGTATAATTTTTCACATGAAAAATATTGAAATAAAAGTATTTTTTGATGTTCGTTTGACTTTTTTTACATGAAAATTATCAATTAAATGGATAAATTTTCCTGATATTGGGAATAGAATTTATTTCCATTATAAAAATTTAAAAAAAAAAAGCCAAGAAAATCAAAATTCATTTATCTTTTCATGTCCATTTGACTTTGTTCTACATCAGAATTCTCACTTAAAGGGATGAAACTTATTACAATAATTCTTATAATTTGTTTAAATTGCAAAATAAAAAAAGAATTAAAAAATAATAATAAAAAATGTGAAAATGTGGAATTGAAATTCCCACCATTCAATTCCACCATTTAGTGGAATTGGCTGATATGGCGATTCCATTCCAAAGGCTATCAAACGGTACCTAAGAGAGTTATCATATCATTTCACAGCTTCTTTAATGGAGACAAATTTCATTTTAGCCGCCAAAAGAAAGTAGACTAGTCTAACAAATCCCCTTTTCAAGTAATTATGAATTATCCACGTAAAGAAACATATGTGAAAGAATATAATTCATAACGATAGTCAGAAAAGTTGGGCACTTTTATTTGATAAGATCGTATTGACGTGTACTTCACAGTTGGGTGAATGGATTATCTGTTTTATAAAAGTGGAAAATTACGAATAGAGACACTAGTGTATTTAGAAAGAATTCAATATAATCACGTCAAATTTAATTAAATTAAAATTACTGGAGAAATACAACTACGTAAGAAGCTCCTATGAATATACCTTGAAGAGTTCTCTGGTGATGGCCATTTGAACTTTCAACAAGAAATGCTATTTTTCTTGATGAGGAAAAATTAAAATTGGAGAGTTTGATTTGGTATGCATTTGACAAGTTGGCAGGCAAGTTACACGAGATGAGCAAAGGTCCAAAGTCATTAGTTCGATAAACTCCAAATTCAGGTACCTAAGCCCATCCCCTTTGACATTCAAACAAAAACTGTGTTTCTTTTTGAATGTGTGTGTGTGTGTGTGTGTGTGTGAGAGAGAGAGAGAGAGAGAGAGAGAGAGTGGGGGGATGCATGCATACTTACACACACATAACCTTTGATTAGTATTACATTTGAGTCTCTAACTTGCCAAACAGAGTATTTGGATACTCAAACTTTTGATGTTGTAGCATTTAACCTTAATAGATGGAAACTATCAACTTGACGATTAAAGCCCGTTTGACACGAATTGCTTCCAAACTATACATTTTGATATTTTTTTAGAAGTACTTTGTCTGACTAGAAAAACTAACTTCCTGAAAAAGCTATTCTACAAAGCAAAAAACCATAACAAACAGACCCTAAATCATATACCAAAAGACTATTATACCATTACTTGAATAATTAGAAAATGAAAATAAGTGAATTGTAGTCATTTCGACACGATTTTTTTTAACCGTCAAACGGAGGGTATAATAATTAGTACCCAACACTATAATGTTGAAATGATGGGGATCCAGATGCTCTATTTGGTAGGTTGAGGACTCAAATGCAACACTTAACTTAGTTTGAGGACAGAATGAAAATTTCCCTATATAAATAAATAGTGTCATTCATAGTAAAAACTAATGGCAATCGTCCTAAATGGTATATATGTGTTACTTTGTTATTTGATGCAAAAATGTGATGAGATTTTTTATTGCCTCGTGCTTCAAATAAAAGAAGTGACACATATATGTCACTTAGGAGAACTATCATTAATCATTGCTACGAAAAATATTACTCTATATGAATGTATATTTGAGTACGTACATATGAAGATAGAGAGAGAGATGGTCACGAACTGGTATACGTTAGGAAAAGATGCTACTGAAACAGGGCTGCAGACAGGGTTTTTTCGCATTGGTTGTGCTGGAAAATTAATCACACATAAAAAAACATGTTTTATATTTGACTTGTGTTTAAATAATTAAATAATACCATAAATGGAAATCTACAAGCTCTAGTCTAACAATTGTGTTCTCACTAACTTGTTTGGTAACGTATACTATACAAGGGACAATATCAAGGAAGACTAAAAATTTAAAATACTATCTATCATAATGTCTAATCTTGTCGATAATTCATACCAAGCATGCACTTGATTTGCAAAATGGTGGAAGGGATCGACAAAGAAGATTAAGCAAGTGAATCATCCATCAAAGAATCAATAATGTCCTCATTGGTTGCTCCTGTCAACTCTTTTGCTCTCTGAGCCTGATGTTCCCAATCTGTTCGAACCAAAAGAAACAACATGGTCACTGCACAAGAGCCCTGTGCAGCCAAAAGTCCAAGCCAAAGTCCCTTGAAATCATACCCCAAATAGAACCCTAACCACAATGCAATTGGCATCCCAACTAAATAAAAGCACCCCAAGTTGATATTAGCCCCCAACTGTGGTCTAGCAGTTCCCCTTAGTACCCCACAACCAGTTGTTTGTGGGCAATTTCCAAGCTCACATAAGCCTATTATGGGCAAAACCATCGATGTTAAAGCGATGATTTCCGCATCTCGTGTGAACATTTTAGCCCATGTGTTCCTCACCATAATGGCAAAAAACAGCGCTGAAACTCCGAGTACAAAACTCGTTGTTAGTCCGAGAATCGCAGAGAGTTTCGCGGTATTAGGCCTGTTGGCACCTAGTTCATTTCCAACCCTGGTTGATATTCCAAAGCTTAAAGAAGATGGAAAAATGTAGATTAAAGCTGTGGTTTGAATCAAAATCCCCATTGATGCTACCGTTGCTCGAGGGTTCAATAATAATCCACATAACAAGATCATGATTTCGTACCACCACCACTCTAAACATACACTAATGCAACTTGGAATTGCTAGGCTTACTAGAGATTTCCAGCCCTTGAAGCAATCTGATGATATGCCACCCCAAGTTTTCTCGTAGGTCCCGGACATTACAACGTAGGCGATTAATGATCCTACTAGGTTGAAATTCGTCCAAACTCCGGCTAGGGCGACGCCTTTGATCCCGAGATTGAGGAATGTGACAAGAAGATAACTTATAGGAATGTGGAGAAGAATGGCTAAAGCTGCACAGTATGTCAAAGGAAACGTTATGGATTGAGTCCTAAGATATATTCTTAAAGGGTGAAGAAATGATTGTGCAAGAAGATCAGGAATAGAATAAAGAATATAGGATTGTGCTTGTGTTGAAATATCATGATCTTGACCACAGAAAAGTAAAATTTTCTTCATGTTGAACCATAAAAACCCAATGGGAATTGATGACAATAAAAGTAAAAGAACTGTTTTTTGAAAGGTAAGGCCAATAAGTTTGAATTTTCCTGCTCCAAAAGCCTGTCCACAAATTGGTTCCATTCCCATGGCAAGACCGGAGAGGATGGAATAACCGGTGATGTTGGCGAATCCCACGGCCAGCGCCCCTCCGGCTAACGAGAGCTCACCAAGATGGCCGAGGAAGAGCATGGATATCATAGATCTGGAATACAGTAACAATCCTGTTAACACCATTGGAAGAGAAATATTGGCTATGCATTTGGCTTCTTGAATTGCTAGGGAGAAATTTGTTTTCTTGCTCATTTCTTGGGTACATGTTTGTTTTCTGGAAACCAAAGGATTCAACATGTTTTATTGGTATTCTTTCAATTTGATTGAAGCTTGCTTTGTGGGTAGATTTACAGGAACATGGAAAAGAAACCGACAGTGTTGTGGGCTTGGGAGAATTTTTAAACAGAGAGAAGGGGTGGGGATAGATATGCGTGTTTACGGCTGTTTTGGGAGGTTTTATAAGTGTTGAATTTTGGAAAATACGGATTTTTATTTTTATTTTTTTTATTTTTACTTTTTTGAGTAAATTTAAGGAAACATGAATCCAGAAAAGTTTAGATTTCAATTTTATCCGTTACTGTTGCACGTTAAGGTTCTAAATTAATGTGACAAAATTTAAGGAAATAGGATTTTTCCATTATTTTTAGTAAACTTCTCTTAGCTCCTTTTTGGTTTATAGATAAAAAATCAAACTTTTAACAGATTTTAAAAAATTGGTGGAGCGTGTGATAGATTATGATTAATTATTCATTTCAACTTATATTTTAATTATAATTTTTTTCTAAACTAAATAAAAGGTCACGTGAATTTCACACGATTCATGATTTGACGATAAGACGGGTGAACTTGATTTGAATGAAGATTAGAAATGAAAAAGAAAGAGAAGAAAAAGGCAAAGAAAAATAATAGAAACATTGGCAAACCTCTCTCCCTAGCCGACCCATCCTAAAACGTCCTTTTCCCACCCTTTGATACTCCATACTCCATACCCCATACCCCAACTAGATGTAAAATGGTAATGAGGGTTCAAGTAAGTATGAGAAAGGTAATTTTTTTGGAGTATGTATAATTGAAAAGTAGACAAAAATTATTAGTCCGCATGTAAAATTATTATATTAAGAGAATTTTTAGTTGAAAATAAATTTTTAAAAAAAATAAATTTTAAAGAATCTACACCAAACTAAGGTTCAATTTCATAAGTTGAACATATTCGCTAACTTTTTCACTCTATCCGTTAATGAGAGCATTAAGGATGGATGGAGTCTCTCCGGAGAACCAAGTGAAGAATGAAAAACGTTCGTTAAGGCCCAATTGATTCGTCATGGTAGAGAAAAAAAAAATGACACACTGACTGTATGAGCAGAGCTAAGAAATTGATGGATTTAGGGGTCGTAAAGGGCAAACAATACAACAAGTGCCTATTTTGATTTCATCCAGTCATTAATAACTTAATTCTTTTTAGATAGCAATTTTATATAAATCAAGATATGTCTACCACATAATTCAACAAAATCCGTGATAAGTTCTATTCTATCTATGATTAAAAGTAGTGAGTTGGCGGGCATCCAATGGGACTTAATTTGAAGTCATGGACGGCGATTAGACGAAATAAAAACAAACTGTAAATGGTTTGACTGATGCATGCACCCAAATTGTAACAGAAATTTTCCTTTATCTTGAAGTGTCCTTTTTATGACCGACAAAGAGTTAAGACAAACGTCTGCAGTTATGGTTTCTGTATTCTTAATTGTGTTATTAAAACATTTAAAACGTTTTAATTTTGGTCAAGGAATAAGAATTGACGTTCTGTCAAGAAAATACACTTTGAAAGGGGCTCTGTAAGGTTATGACTAAGGTTTGACTTTATTTTATTCTCGACTGTTTCGAGTTTGTCGACATGAATTTTCCATTGATATTAACTTCTTATTTACATGAATCTTGAGACAAACACAAATTTATTTTTAGTAACTTAGCTCAATCATTCAGTTTTGTTGTCCAACCATGCTACAAAGACGAGGCTAGGGTTAAAAAATAGGGAGATACGTCGCAACATTTCATTAGATAGTTAGAAAAAAATCCATAAAGATGTCAGGGGCGGAGCCAGGATTTTAGTTCAGTGCGGGCAAAATTTTTTTGACATCAAATGTCGAGGTTTTGCTCATAGATTTAATGACGATAAAAAAAAAAAAAAAAAAAAGCAATAGTACGACAATACTAAAAACGACATAATTTATATATTACACTTGTTCCTTACAAGTTTTCATACTCTGTGCAAATTGGAACTGCGACGTCGTGATAGGGACGAATTCTCTCATTCACAGACAAAGAGTTGGATTGATTCAAATGAAAGAATAAGTTTGGGTCAATTGAATTTTGAGGGAATGGGTTTAATAGGGCTTCTCTTTCTGAGCTGGACATGGAAGTGGGTTAAACAAAAAAAAGAAAATTATGCCCAAAATTCTACTCGCACTGGACATGCTTTGGGAGCGCCCATGACAGATGCTGCCAATAGAACACATGTCAAAAGCCCACCCTGTGCAAGAAGAATTATTCTTTGTTGTCAAAACATCGAATATCGATGTCAAGTTCATGTAAAATCGCCTCTCATGGTGTGACCGAGTTGGTGAAGTAGGTGAGCTTTGAGGCCGTTAGTCACAAGTTCGATTCTTCATACCAATACTTTCTCGATCGAGTCTGTCGCACAAGGCTTGTCTAGTGCAGTTTACCTGACTAACGTAGTTTGCAGGCTATTGCGTCAACTCGAGAATTTATCCAGTGTGCACCCGAAAAGTAGCGGCTGCGGGTTCCCCCATCATCAAAAAGTTCATGCAAAATCATATTAGGTTTCGATGTCTACATTAGTATCGTTTTTTAGTTGGTTGATACTATCCAAAATTAAACTTGAGTTGTCGCTGTTTCGCGCGGGTTAGTTGCTAATAATTAAAAGGGATCAGACGATTGTGTAAAGGACAAACCTCTTAAAATAAAGTCCCAAAAAGGGGTGTTCTTTTATTGGCGATGACTTTACAATTGGAAATTAGAAACAGAATTCCTCCAAAGGGCGCAAGCACACGAGTTACTGAAAGAAGTGTTTAAATCTAAGCTAAGGAAATTAAAATTACATGTTCTCTGTTCGAGAGTTTTTGATTCGGTCTTTTGCTCTATGTCTTTTCTCCTTTTTATACTCCATGGATGATCTCTTTGTGATCAACCGCCTAAAAACTGCTTGATCGTTCTACAATTGCCCATGGCCAAAAGAAACAAATTTTTTTTTTTAGGGTTTTGGTGGAGACGGGGGGCTCTATTGCAAATAATGCAATTAGGGGTCCCTGGTTGCAATTACGAAAATGGGGTCAATTTGCAAATTTTAAAAGTGGGACCTGTTCTGCAATTTTTTAATTTGGAAGGGTGTGGTGTTAATTTTCAACTTGGGTCAAATTTGTAAATTGTCAAAATGGTTTTGAATTGAATTTTGAATTGGTTTTAAAATGATGTTTTAATTGGGTTTAACGCATACCCTAATTTTGACCCAAAATTAAAATTTATTTAAAATTTGATGACTTTTATATTTTTGTTAAAATTAGGTTTTAACTTAAATATTTAATTTTGGCCCTTAATTGAATTTTATTTTATTTGGGAATTTTGTCCTAAATTAAAATATTAATTCAATTTTATTGGAGTTGGACTCTAATATTATATTAATTAAAATTTGATTTCAATTAATACCGCTTCCCAACGCAAATTAAAATTTAGAGTATGACTCTAATTTAATAATTAATTAAAATCCGATTTTGATTAAATTACTTCGTCCAATAGTTATGGAATTAGAGTTGGACTCTAATTCGAAATTTAGTTAAAATTTGATTTTAATTAAATAGGCCCACCAATTAAGTTAATTAATTAATATGATTAATTAATTATTTTATTATCTCGATCCAAAATTTTGAATTAGTTTTAAAGACTATAATTGCTAGATTTATGAGACATTGCATATAATATTAGATATTATACATAAGAAACATTTATGTGATGAAATTTATGGATGATTATGGACTCGATCATATGGATGTGTTGAATCGTTAATTTACTTCTTTTTGTTTTATGGGCTTGCGAGCCCTTAATTGTTTTGGACCTGCGAGTCCGTTGTTATTATTGTTGTTATGGGCCTGCGACCTCCTTATTATATTGGATCTCTGAGTCCGTTGTTACTGTTATTATTGTGGGCCTGCGAGTCCGATTTATTTTAGGCCTACGTGCCAACTAGTATATGATACATGTTGTAGTTTGACTAATTGAAGGAGCAAGAAGATGTGGACACCACGGAGATGGTGCATTGGTGTTGATCCAATGTTGTACCCCTTATGAATTGACCAACTATACTTGATGAGACCATTGCATGTTAAATCCCTCGTTAAAATATTAAGTTAGTATTATTTGCCTTCCATCATTATAGTGAAAAACGAGAATCCTAAATCGACCTTAACTTGTTGAGTACACTCAAGGCTGGTCTATTAGGGATATGTTTGACACTATGAAATATTTGATATTTCTGAATGATGGGTTTGACTTAATTAAAATTTATCTTTTGTTGAGTACATTCAAGGAGATAAATTTTAGAGACATGTTAAGCTAACACATAAGATGTGTGAAGACAAAAGAGTTGTTAGCTTAATGATCTGGGAGTTGTATGGAGATACAATTGATAATAATATCTATCCAAATATTTTATTAGGATTTGTTGAGTACACTCAAGATCTTGAAACAACGAATGGGATCCCAGCCCATTGGGAATCAAATGTAGATTCAAATAATTTATGTACGAGGGTCATGAATTTATTTTAAACAGTGGGAGCACGTTTAAGTAAAGTTCATATTGAATTTGTGCATATGAATTATAATACATATTAATTCTATGTTTTTCGTCATTTACAGTTTTTGAATCATGAGTAATCATATGAATTTGAGAGGCATATTGGATGCCAACAAACTGACAGGACCAAATTTTCTCGATTGGCACCGCAATTTGAGAATCGTTCTCAAGCATGAGAAAATTGGATATGTCCTTGAGCAGCCCTTTCCAGTGGTACCTACTGAAAATTTCACTCAGGAAGAGGTGGCTGCATACAACAAACACAGTAATGACGATAAAATTGCAGCATGTGTGATGCTTGCAGCTATGTCACCTGAGTTGTAGAAGCAACATGAGGGTATGGATGTTTATACTATGATTTTTCATCTCAAGAAGTTGTATGATGAACAATCTCGTGTGGAGAGGTATGAGACCTCTAAATAACTATATCGGTGCAAAATGGCAGAGGGATCTTCGGTCAGTGCTCATGTACTGAAGATGATTGGTTTCATTAAAAAACTTGGTTCACTGGGTTTTATCATGGATCATGAACTAAGTATTGAC